GGGGGGTTTCATTTAAAAAACCAGAGTTGGTAACTACCACACGTTTATGATGCACCCTGTATATTGGAAAGTAATTTTAGAATGTAGACCTTTTAAACGTGAAAAACTTTTGTTGGACGGATTTTCTTGTAAACTTCATATTTACTGAGATATCGCACTTTGACGCACTAATGAGCAACCCTGTATAATAATAAATGTAATATGATTATAATTCTGCCCCATAAAATATATGTTACCTTACGTCAAGGTATAGCATTATATGAGAGTCTCTTACAAACAGCAGAACAAAAAAGCAGAACATTTACCCAGAATTACAGGGGGATTCCTAAGTGTTACCTAACATCAGAAAAATAGACAACATTTCTTAAAGAAAAAGCTCAAGGTAGAAGATTCAAATAGGAAGCAATCAACTTTAAAATTCAGTGATGCCCCAGAGCCAAGTGCACAAAATCATCGGCAAATGCAGGAGGAAGATGATTTAAATTCCGCATGCTGACTTTGAAGGTGCCTTCGATCGATTTAGGAAGTATCAACTAATGTAGAAAATCTCACAGACGGGTAGTGCAGTAAAATGTGCAAATATAAAAAGTGCAATATCATTTGAAGAATAAACTTCATTTTTATTGAAGTTTTGAAGTTAAAATAAGGAGTAAGTTAAGAAAATACTTAATCAAAACGATTGAATCCTTCTTAGTAATTGTGCCAGTGTTTTTTTTTACTTTTCTCTTTAAGCTTATTTTACGTATCATCGTACAGTCACCCATGGGTGATTGATATTCCGATGCAAAGAACTTTTTGTAATTAGAAAAAAAACTTGTAACAAATCCAATGAAATGTGTAGAGTGATTGGCTCAAATAACATCCCTCGACTAAATCTTTCGAAAAAGTCATGCTACTGAAATAATGTTCCCGACGATCCTAGACTAAAAGAGAAGGAAAATTGCAGTTTACTAGACAAATTAATTGACCAGATAGACACAAATGCATATACTGAGTGAATGAAAATACTTGGACAACAAAATCTGATTTATCGATAAATTTCCCTTGGACGAACGACCTCGACATTCGCCGTCGACATGTGTAGCAGGTGTATTACCATCGAGCCCACCAACTATACCATCAACGACGCGGAAGACCCGCTAAGCTAACCCACTGACCCACTTCCGATGTACTGCTGACCAAGAGCATATACATAAACAGATTCTTCAGTCTACCGTCGGCACGAGCCTATCGGGTACCGATTTTGTCACGGAGAAAGAACCACTTTTAGCCTCTTTCTAGTACCGATCAAATTGCTTCTCGATCGAATGTGGTGCGGAGGTGCTAAAAAGACCCAGTGACGTTTTTAGGTAGTTTGTTCTTTTGGTGATGGGTACCTCTGGTACTGATTGTATTTGTCGTTAATAGGACCCACATTGATCGTGAGTTTCTCTTCTAATTTTAGACACCAGATTCTAAAAGGATCTGCTGGTTCAGTCATTAGCGCTTCTGCTCAATGTATTTTAAATATATTAGTAAGCGGTTGAAAACATAAACTACTTGAAAAATAAAAATAATTATTAAACAAAAGTATTTAAACGATTGCACAATTTTACAAGATCACACCCTCAAGTTCAATATCTAACATGTTTGAATATTTGATTAAAATTTCACTTCACTTGGAATTTATTTAATGAACGGGAAACGCACAAATAGTTTAAACCAAAGAATACTTTAAAGTCTAAAATACAAATTAAACTAGCATAAAATAATCTTTGATATCAAATTTTTATTTGCAACAGGAATAAAATAGTAAGAGAACAAAAGATTAAATAGTTATTTTTTAAGCAATAATTAAAATATTTTTTCAATTCAGTTTGATTGCTATTATCATTGTGTTTTGCTTCATTATTTTTCTCAATATTTGAGTTGCTTTATATTATATCCGTTCTTTTTGTCTGTTAATGCTTGAAATTAAACGAACCACTGACTACTCATTTTTATTAAAGCAACTTACTATGCCGTCCTGATTTAACGCCATTTGATTTTCATGTTTGAGGTCATACGAAGAAAACTGTTTATGAGACCGAAGTAGAAACGCATCAACAATTGACAAGCTGAATCTAAAACTAAAGTCAGTGACGAGAAAGTAAATTATTAATCTACTGCTACACCATGAAACGTTTATTTCAAAACTGCTCAGTTATACAAATGGAAAATTATTAACAATGATCAATCGATACAAGTTTTATGCATGAAGTTCTGTGAATTTATAAACATATTCGTATTTTAACAACTGCATTCCATATTTGTTAAAACAAAAAATTAATCTGCAGAAGATAATTCTATTAATAAAGTAACACATTGATTTGAGCTCAAAATTAAGTGACTTTAGTCACCACATGCGGTCCCTATAACTATATTTTTCAATAAGTCCTTGCTTTCCTTGCGCGTGTTATATGAATGAAAACCAACATGTATTCGACAACTTTATGCAATTTCAAAAACCTTAACTTAAAAGTTTTAAAACGAAGTCAAAAAGGAACAGAAAAATTACTCATTTCACAAAATATGTCATGAAATTCTCTATTTTAATAGCTTGAAATTCAACTCACTCCTCCCGTTCAGTTAAATCATTTTTATTTCATAATAACCGTTCTGTTGTCTCTTATTAACGATTTTATTAAAGTTAAGTGCTGATTTTTGCTGATCTATTTTTTAGAAATCAGAAATTGCGTTCATTTTTATGCTCAAGTCAATTAACATCTCGCCATCATCTAAAACATATTTTGTTGTTTATAATTCAAATGATTCATTGATTCAAATAATTACTGAATGATTAAATTTTACTTCCAAATATTTCTCATGTTCATGTCCTTTTTCTACGTTTCCAATGCAAGTTGTAAAAAGAAAGTGAAACCCAAACATCAATAAATTCAAGTTTGTCCTAAAGGATTTTTGCAAAACATTTACTTCCTTTGTTGCTGAGAGTTATTTTCCTACAAAATTCCCAAATATCAAAAGCCGTTATAAAATTAAACCTACTTCTGGTCATTTTATTTCAATGTTTTATGCATTGCCACGACCACCGTTATAGTGGTTTTAAATTCAACACAACTCTTCTTGATTGATGTTTATTGGACATTATACATTATTTACTTGAAGCTGTCGAAACTGCTAAGTTTCTTTTGGAAAATTAAGCAGAAAGCCGACAGACCGGAGCAGCAATTTTCTCTGCTTGAGATGCCGAACAGAAAGTTGCAAGTGAAAAGCCCCCTGAAACTTTTCTAAAATTGTAAAAGCCACTTGAAACTATGACGACGTTGCTGGCAGCCGAAAGCTTACTGGAAAAGCAATTTTCTCCACTAAATTCGTATTTTACATTTGTAATATTAAGGCGACGCCTTTAAGGCTTCTTTGAAACTTGCTCAAATTAAAGATCCTCAATTCAGCTACTTTCGAATCACGAGCATCATTATTATTTAAATTGAGTTTACTGTAAACCAGAAATGTGCTTTAGTGTCTTAAACCATCTTTTATTAAAATATTTTCCAAGGGATTTTTAATTGTCAATTTCATTTTAACTAGATTTTCTTTAATTTTGCTGCCTGTTTTATAAAAAAGCTACTTTTCTTGTATATTCTGGATGGAAGGGATTTAATCAATTACCTGAAGTTTATGCCAATCTGCGCCTGAGTATTTAAGCAATTATACAATAACAAGTATCTGGTTTAATAAATAGGTAATATATAAATAGACACATTTCTTGACTATGGTATATTTAAAAAAAAAACACTGTTAATATTGGCCTTTAGGACATGACTGATAGCAATATTTATGAAATTTCTAAACCAACATTGCGGCATTCTAACAGCCCTAGATCGCCCCCGCGCTGAAACAATTAAAGGAAAAACATAGTAAGTTGCTTCAGAAAAATTATAAAATTTGCGACAAAAGCAGATAAAATTGTGCTTCGTTCTTAAAATACGGAAAAAAATTCAGTACAATCAGTACCAACTACTGAGGAATTTACCTTACAGTGGAAGTTTTCCCTCTACTTTAAAACTTCAAGTTTCCAACATCAAATCGTCTATTGACCGGTACTACCATTATGAAAAACTCTCCGTGGAACTACTTTGTATTATGTTTCCTCTACTGTAACGTGTTCCAAATGACACTTGCGGATGTAAGCGAAAGAAGTGGAATAACCAGAACTAGAGGTAAGTAGTACTTCAATTGCCAAACCAGTATTCGAATAGTTTATAGCATGTACTAGGATTTGTTTTTCCTTTGCTTGTTTGATATAAGTGGTACGAACAAAATGTAGAAATTGATGCGCTGTGAGACTTGAAGCCCTACATTAGTTGATTTTTATTGCTGGAAAACCTGATTTTCCATACTCCTTAATGGAGATTTCAAAAAATGCCAATCTATATTTGCCAATTCCCAGGCATGAAAGCAAAGTAATCATATGTTCATCTAACAACCACCAATCAGTGTCTTACAAGAACAGTACCGTTTAGCAACTGTTAAGTGAGGCTGAAAACATTTCTCATTATACATGTTCTTTATGGATATTATTATTGATGTTGCACGATGTCGGCGCACTGAACCATGGCAAAAAATTGCACGATATGTCAATTAAAATGTTAACTATTGATTCCCCTAAAATGTTAATTAGCAATTTGAAAGGCTATAACATGCCACGGCCTGTGTGAGTCCACATTTCACCTATGAACTTGACTTACGGATTTTGCTTAACCCAGATATACGTTACTGTTTAAAAAAGATTTGTATCTAGTTACTTTTCAGTTGTGATCTAAGGATAATTTATTTGTAAGATTAAACTTAGAGATCCAGTTCAAGAATGAAAGTTAATGAAAAGCAAACTTTTCAAGCAACACAAAAAATGATAAAAATTAGAATAAAAAAAAACAATTTATAGACATTTGCCTTAACGTTAGAGAGTTATACGACTAGTATAACTTAAAAAACGAATACGTGTTGTCTATAAAAGATTACTTACGAAAGAGGAAATCCACCGTTACCATTTTTATCGGAAACTTGTGAAGTTGTTTGCTAAGTCTCGTTATTTTGGTCGATTATATATTTAAACATTCTAAAGTCAATCAGCAAATTAATTAATTTAAAATAGCTATTTAAATAGACCATTTTTATTTTACTTTTCTAGTTTTTGCAGAAAAATGGTAGAACAGCGAATCAAATTAAATTTTAAGCAAAATGTATCAACGTTAAAAAATAAATGATAAAAAGTTGATCCCTGCCTTCAGAATATCTACATGTTTGAATTGAGATTTATGATATGAGGATTTTATTAGTTCTCTATTAAAAGCCTTTGAGTTTTAGTCAGAAAGTGCATTTATATTCAAAATTTCAACTCACTGTCTATTTCCCTCATCATTTAACATTTTCCCGAAAATATTGCGTTCATTGAAAACTTTTTTATAAATAAAAACACTTAAATTAACTGCTACGTTTAAAAAAACTGTTTTGTTTGCCGGCACCCAGTTGCGGACGTTTTTCAATATGAAAAATTTGGAGTTTCCAATGTTTTTGAACCGCAATCATTAACTGTTTTATTTTAGCAATATTTGCAAGCAGTCGTTATCCGTCTTATGTTAGTGAAAAATGTCTCTTGATCACAGTTCAGAGCGCCATAATGGTAACTTTTCGAATTTTTTAAAATCATGGTTAAGCCCTTTGAAAGAGTTACGGAAATTTTGAAATATAATGTTTATTACCTGGTTGTACCAAACTGAATGCAGGAATTAAGTTCTGCATATTCAACTGCTTATTTTCCTTAAACGGTAAAATAATTTTGAAACCCCATTATTTTATTTTACATTATTTTACATATATTTTTATACGTTTAAATTTTAAATTAATATGGAATTACTTTTAAAATAAAAAAATATTAAGTTCTCAAATACTATTATGATTGGAAATAATTGAGTTTCAAAACTAGATAACTTCGTTTCATGCGTTTGTGCCACTTGGTCAAATGTAATTTTATTCTTTGAACAAGAATCCAACTCAAGCAAAAAACTCACAAAGCTCCACAAGCTTACACGGTGAGTAATGTCTATAGCAGTTTATCATTCTTAATCGACAAAGTTAAAAGTTGAAAATACCCATTGCTTCTAAGCTGATATCTCTAATTATATCCGAACAGTTAGAAGCGACAAATAAGCTGGTAACAGATATCGACTCATCGAGGAGATATCGCCTGGTTTAAGTTGGAGGCAGTTTATTTTATGCTAGAATGCCTATATCTATGATATGTGTATTAAAAATCGCAACACTCACTAGTATTAGGCTCCTGCAAAATATGCTCAATTGAGCCATTTAATTACAACAAAATATGTCTTAAAATAAATAAAAAATATATTTTTACGAAATATGTATATTGATTTACGATGAGTATTTGACTGAAACTTTCATCAATTTCTGCAAGCAAAGTTCAAATAACAATTTGAGGGACGTCCTACTAAAGATAAGTATTTGACTAACAATATGTGTATGTGAAACAGAAGTTGCCTGCATCTTCTGAGAAGTTTTTTTGAATCAATCAGTTCTCTATTATTAGTATATGCAACATGCTTCCAGTTGTACTTTTACACGCACATTTTTAGAAGGCTCATTTTTCATACGATTTATAAGTAATAATTCCAAAATCTTAAACAAACATTAAACAGTTTTATTTGAAGACAAATTACAAAATAACAAATCTCAATATTTAATTTTAATTTGCAGGTAAACACAAATCAGTAAGATAAAACTGTAATGTTCATCGCGTTTTATAGCTGAAGCCTGATAATTAAACACTGTTAGAATTAGTCAGATCCGCACTAAATAAGTTAAACCTAGTTTAAAATTGTTTAATTATCTGGCATTTAGATCATAGACTTGTTTTAACTGTAATATCTTAGAAAAAGTGTCATATATTTAATATTTAATGGGAACGTAAATATTCGTACTAATATAAGGAACATCCGGTTAAGATTCTTTCAGATCGTTTGACGTGAAAAGGTCAAAAGTGAGCAACGTTAGTGAAATGAACAATTCACAACAAAGATAACCTCAAACAATACAAAAACGAAGTTAGAAAAGCAGGCAGAGCAAAGCTATTGGCTAAGAGGGCAAAGATAAGCGAATTATTAGTAATCTATAGTTAAATATAATTTATACGAGGGCAATAGAGAACAAGACCGAATTCGCCAAATTCATTCTTTTTTCGGTATTTCAGAGCAATTTCAAGATAAAATAAACAAAAAAAGGATATTGAGAATTTTTGAAGAAACCATCCATAACATCATACAGCATGAAAACAATGAATAATATTGCCTTTAATGCTAGCGAATTTATCTCTTAGATAATTGCAACAACTTAGCAACCAAAGAGTTAGGTGAGATGGAAATAACCTTTGAAAATGAAAAGAGGATATTTAATAGGTACTCGAACGCAGCAGAGAAATTAGCGCTCCTCTCCAACGATTTATGTAACAAAAATTTAGCGTATATTTCTTGGGTCCCACTGACAACAAATATTTTTGCTTAATTTCTTCTTTTACTTAAACAAACAAACATTTAATATTTGTCTAGTGCAACTTTTATGTTAACGGATTTTTTTCACCTACAAACTGATGCCGATCCTGTAGAATGAAAAATCGCACAATTAGCATCAATTTTTGACTAGTTTACTGTTAAATAATACATTATATTTCCACACGTTACATTTATAAATTCCTCGGCTCGTATTATACCAGAACTGACCTCCTTATTTACTAGCTGTCGATTAGCATACATATAGCGTCAATTTTAATAATGAGGCTACTGATTTAAATTTAAAGGGATATTCCAACATGGATCAATCGGTTTCCAAAAGATGTTCGTGTATTTGCTGCAACTGCAACTGAACTACTAACGATACAAGTAAGTAAAATAACGGAAACTAATGATCGATTTCATTTGAGAGTCATGAATTAGCACTTTCCTGTCATACGTTATGGTGTTGATTTTTATAAATTACTGATGCTGATCGCGACCAACCTACTTACTTCTACTTATGAGGCACTTATCTGGCAATTTAGAAGTTGTTATAAAATGTTTCTTTAAATAAAAATGCTTAATTGTTTAAGTATTAGAAAATGTTACCGGGAAATGAAGTTGAAGTGCGAGAAGAGTCTTAAAAGTGCAGACATAATGTAGTAGTAATGTACAGTTTACTGATCTAATTTTAATGTTTTATTACTAAATAATCGAGAATTTTCACAACTATTTAAAATAATATAAGCCGGATTTACGCGAATATAAGAACCACACACTTTGAACGGTGTAATGTTGATATGCATGAGTGTTAATTCGGCCCTAAAACTCCACTTGTATTTTTGTTTGAAAAGTGGTATCAAAATTCATTATGGTATAAACGAATAGTGGCAACTTCAAACAGCAAATATTAATAGGATTAAACAATAATCTATAAAAAAATGGCAGCTAGAATTTGTTGTTTGGTAGAAATATTTTTTCTGTGCATGCATTTTCTGCATCAATCTGTATTATATTAAATCCCTCCTCAAAAAATCGCAAATTTTAAATGCAGGAACTTGGCAGATGTTTATTATCTGGATGCTGCTAATTCCTTTTTTTGAGTGTGTAGCATTTTAATAATAAATATTTCCAACTTGTCTCAATAAAGGATCTGTTAAAATTATTGCATTTATTATTGCCACTTGGGTTTACTTCTTTAAGTTAAGTAAGTACAATTCTCTTTATTCCTTGCCCGCACTTGTGAGCGCACTAATGATATTCAAGTGAAAATAAGGATATAATCACATATCTAGGTTGTGAAGAAGAATGCGACACCACACAAGAAATCTAAAATTAAAATTGGCATGATCATTTCGCCAAACAATGCAGAAATCATAAAGACCTGAATGAAATCATCGCTCGCCTTTTACACCAGATGTAATTCGACGAATAAAAGAGAAAGTTACAATAAAGACGTGGATTTTTATCTGAGCCCGCAAAATGCGTTCCAATGACGCATTTCAACCTTCTCAAGTGCTCATTTCTCTCTGAGAAACAGTTAGATGATTTAAATGAATAATTTCGAGTTTACTACTACAATCTGTTGACATTGTCTCCTCCTGCTTTAGGTTCTGTACCGGTGAAATTGGTTTTCCAAACACGACAGGAAAGTGTAATAAAGATTAATTTTGTCTGCTTAGAGGCGATAAAGATAAATAAATGTTTTTCAAGCTAACATTTCTTAATTACTCGCTCTTGGGTTATGGGAGCAAATTGCATTTACAATATTACATTAGGTTTTTCGGGCAATTAATTCAGTGTGCATGCAATATTTGGCAATATTATAATTTTCTGCCAATCAACACGCTTTGTTTTATTCACTTAACTGAGACACTTTGACTGTTGAACGTAATTTTCTACCTTACGATCGTGTTTAAAATTGATAAAAATTAATGAGCTTCCAAAATGAGGTCCACATGAAAACGCTTCATTGTTTAAAGAGCAGTGAATTTAATCCTGTACTACTAATATTTAATGTTCCCACACCCAAAGTAATGACTAAGATATTAAGCCCAACACAAATACCTGGCAGCTAACAAATTAGTTAACTTAATATATATTTATAAGGATTTTGATATAATCTTATCAAGTTTAGCATGCAAATGTGGCCAAAATTCACATTTATTTCATAGTAATCCACATTGTATTAAAGCAAAATTCTGATCGATTATTTACCAATTTTGAACCTTGCCTGTTGATGAGCTGAACATTAAATACAATTTTCGCCGGGAAATTTGTATGTTCTGAATAGAAGCCGTTCATTAAATAGAATTTAATTAAACAGTAAATCCATCTGCAATGTACTAATTTCTGGGAATTTCCTATTTATATTTATAATTACATTGAGGCTAATTTTAGTCATTCAAATATTCAACAAATTGTACCGTAAAATCTAAATAATAAATTACAAATTAAATGGAAATAAAGTAATTTAGCTTTCAAACGACCTTAGTGCTTCTGGTAAATGTTACATATTTGATTTTATATTATTCTAATATCAAAAATGCCACGAGCTGAAAGTTAACATTTATATTTTGTAAACTGGGTGTTCTCAAGATGTTTGATTAAAGTATTTAATGTATTATTTTAATTTCTCTAATTAATTATTAAAGGATTCCAGAGCGTCATAAACTTACTTTCCTCATATTGCTGTTCTATTAAATGGCATTTAAGGTGTGTGGTTGTCAGATATAAATATACATAATTGAGCTGAATATGATCTAAAGTTTGTTTAAGGCAGATTTCACCATTAAACAACGAGAATGAATTAAAAACAAAGAGACGAGAAACATATTTAGAAAATATTAATCGAAAATTTTTGCAGCAATTAATTGGAGTTTAATTAATTAGGTACCAATAAAGATTGTTAATTACATGCAAAATTTCCCTTCGACCTCCTGAAAACAGAAAGTAATTCTGAAATTTCATCAGACAACCAGCAACTCTTGGAAAATATTTTAAATGCTTAAAAATGTTCAGTTCTAACTGAAATAATCTTTCTGAAACCGGAAGCTTTTCAGGGCATTATCAGCTCGTAAAATGGCCTTTAGCAGAATAAGGGAAGTCCGCCGCGTGCAATTTGGACAAATAACGAGGGCTTTGAAACCTCATAACAAAGATTTTCTCTTTCCGGAAGCAAAAATGTATCGTTTTATTTTGAGCAAAATTTACTTCAGCTACCTGTATTTTTGGCTTAATTAGCGCAAATTAACCGAAAACTTTTTGATAACACAAAACAACTCTGACTCAGTTAGAAAGTGAATAAGTCATGGGGATATGGCGAAGCCACACACCCAAACCTCCGTTACAAAAGTTTGATAACAGCACGAAAATAGCAGAAGCTGAATTGTGGGTTAAGAGGTTGCAGTTGGCAACATTTCTAGCATATTTTATGCTGGAAATGATCAGTTTGTTAATTGTTTTCCGTTTTGAGTGCCAGATATTATATTTATGTATTAATCAAAATCTTACCTTCCAATGCTGATGAGTTCAGATAAATCCACCCCGTCGCTACATCCGCACCCGAACATCTTACTTGATCTTTCTGAAAGAAGTTAATAAATGAAATTACTCAAGTTATCTTCCAAAATTCTATTTCTATTTTTGCAAACAGCAACTGACCCAAATCAATTTAACTAAATTACGTTATTATGTTGCTATTCATGATGACACGAATCATTTACCAAAGGCAAAAATTTAGATAAAACAGACTTCGCACGAAAATATATTGTAACTTCAACGTTAGGCTATCATGTGAGAAATATGAGCTTTGTGAGAATAATCTCTGGGCGTTATATTTATCTTATAAATAAAATAAATGTAAGAAAATTGCCTGGGGCTCACTTATACCACAATAAATTTCCGAAATGGCTTCAAAAGCCTCAATAGCTCTAGAGTTATGTCGCCAAGACACGAGCCAATGGCCTTAATAAAACCTAAATCATCCGAGCCAGATCGACGCAACCTAAAGTGTAAATTCTTAAAATAGAATGTCCATTTTTCTACCCAACATTTCCTCTATTATAAATAATAGGCGCTGACAATCAAATATACTACGGAACTCAATCGGAAACCTATTTGCATTGAAAGAATGGCAAACTAATCGATCAAAGCGAAACACCTTGACATTGCCAGTGACCTTAGCTGGTGAAAGTTGAACACTTGTAGCAGCATTATTGGCATAAAGCTCGAAGATATTTGCAATTGCTAACCCAAATTTGTGAGATTGCACACCTAGTGATTTATGGTTGTGCTTAATTTAGTCTTCAATTTCTTTCCGTCACGTTCTCAAATTTAATAAAGTCAATATACTTGCAAATTTTTTATACTTATGATAATGCTCTAAATTTTGTAATTCATTTCGATTCACAGCAATAAATACACTATACATAATAACAAAAGTAGAATGGTAACATTGACCGCAAAGAAGCTTTGAATAGTGCAAGAGGTTGAAGAGCAATTTCTGTGGGCATCTGAATTTCTTACTGAACTTCTCTTCCTACTTCGCACATAATCCGAATATTATGGAAGACCTCACACTACTGCTAAATCCGCTTTCATCAATAGATTCTATTTTTCTATATTAATTGGAAATCGTACATGACAAAAAAACGAATTTGACTATTAGATACATAAAAAAATAAAGTATTTGGCTTTTAGGCACAATTTTCGAACGAAAAACGTTTTTCTCCGTGTATGGTAGTTTGTCTAATAGCTGAAACCGAACATTTTCACTATAAATGAATTTGACGTTGACGATTAATATGTTATAAAAGCAAATTTTGAAAAAAATCTTGCGAACGAAAAATTCCTTATATTGTTAAACACAAGCGCGTAACAAGGGATAAGTTAACGCATTTATATTTAAGTCCAATTAATTTCAGAAATAAATTATCACTTTTAGTATATATTTTTTGTTTCTTTATTTTGCTGCTCTTCGTCAACCATTCAGCTCGGCAATCACTTAGGTGCACACAAATTAAACTTTGTGTTGGCAACGAAAAATAGGCGATTTTAAAAAGACGAATATAAATTTAAAAGCATAGCTTGAATCCCCAATTCAAGTTATTACAACATAGTGGGAGTAATGCGTTGTGGAAGATGAAAAAGAGCACTGAAGATGGAAAAGAGACCTACTCATTCGCTAAATCTTCAAATAAAACTGTTTTTTTTCTGATGATATAGAGTGTCATTTATATTGTTAATTACGTCAAGATGGGTTTTCTTATCTAATGGTACAAGGCATTGCTTATAATGTCTAAAAGTACTTTAAATGTACTTCGGTAGTCGCGGGCCTCGATTTTCCTAAGAAAATGTTAGATTTAAATATTTAACGCTGTAATCCTGTGAAAAACCTTTTTTTCACATTTTATATTCTTTTATGACAAAGAAGTAACAACAGTTAAAAAAATTGCAGTGAAAAAATTGCAAAAACGACCTCCCGAATACGTCTTGTAAACTAAAAGAAAATCAGCACTATTTCTAGATTATGAACACTATGCTCTAACACAAACTGAGCTTATTTCGGAAGTAATTCACGCTATCGAACATAAAAAAAATCATTATAAAGGGTGTTCAAATTCCTGGGTCTGTTAATGAAGTGAAAACAGAAACACGCGTTCGTCCTGGTCACTCGACTGTAAATATAGCAGCAGTATGTGTAAATGTTGAGGAAAGCCCAATACATCAAGTCGGCATAGAGCTCAGGAAAGTTTCCACCACCACTATGCATCTAATTTTTACAAAAGGTTTGAAGTTTCATGCGTACGAAGTTGAATTAGCTCAAGAGCTAAAGCCATGGGCAACGAAGAGCTTTTGTTGATTGGATTTTGGAACAACGACAATTGGACGGTCATTTTTCAACGAAAATCATCTTTAGTGACGAGTCCCATTTTCATCTTGATGGCTTCGTTAATAGACAAAATTGTCGATTTTGGGGTTCCGAAAATCCACGAGTGATGATCGTTCAGAAACAGATGAATCCAAAAAGAGTCACCGTTTGGTGTGCATTGTGGGCTGGAGGCATCATCGGACCATTTTTCTTCGAAAATGCAGTTGGTCAAGCAATAGTCGTCGAGGTGTTCGTTATCGTGAAATGTCAAAAACTAACTTTTTTGTGCCAAAATTGCAAAATATGAATCTCAGCAACATGTGGTTTCAACATGACGGTGTAACATGCCATACAGCCAGAGAAACTGTGGAATTACTGCACGAGTCCTTTCCTGGTCGTGTTATTTCTCGTTTTGGAGATCGGCATTGGCCGCCCAGATCATGACATTTAAAGCCTTCGGACTTTTTTCTTTGGGTTTTTTAAAGTCACAAGCGTATGGGAACAAACCAACAACGCTTGAAGCCTTCAAAGATAAAATTCAACGCTGCTTCACTGAAATACCCCAAAATTTATGAGCTACAGTCCTTGAAAATTGCATGAAAAGAGCACGTTTATGCCACCAATGCTGAGGCGGTCATTTGTCCGACGTTATTCCATTCATGATTAACCTCATGATGTGTACTTCATTTTTCAATACATGTTTCAAACTTATGCAACAAATATATATGTTTTATCTAGGTTTTAAAGCCGTCGTTCTTATTGGAACACCCTTTACAAGAAAACAAACACAAATAACTCTTAATGTGAATACTGTGCTAAACATCAGATAAGCACGTTGCATTTTCCACTACTCTCGACTTATACTTCTTTATTTGCCTGAAGGGCATTTTAAGTCGTCGCTAGAAAATGGTTAACGAAATTTAATGGCAACGTAAGAGGTAAATCTGCCTTCGCTTTAAACTTTAGCATATTTTCAGCCCCCGTATTTTCGATTTAAAGCCGCATACCGTAAACTTCAGGCTTTGTGATTTTCTTTTTAGACGACGCCAACGGTAGAAGTTGGTCGCTAGGGAATATCAGGAAATATTGCAGAACTCATTTCAACTCGTTTTGCGCTGCAAATGAAATAGTACAGACGGAAATACATGGAATGCTACTATTTCACTTTAGATGACGATGAGGAAAATGACATAATATTTGAGCAGCTGCATCTTTCGAAAGGATTTCTCAATCATCCTCAATCTACCATGTTTAGAAAAGGAGCACATACAGAAGGAGTCGAAATATTTTACATCCATGAAATGTTTCGAGCTGTTCCATAGTAATTAGTAAATGAGAGCTTCAGATGAAGAATCGCATCCATTATTTGAAAATATAGGATTCTGGAACTGAAGATACGTTTCATGGAAAGGAATTACAGATGGATTGGACTTGCTTGGTAGCAGTTTAGTTTCACTTACAAACGTAGAAAATACTACTTCAGAATTTTGAAAAACCTTATTGTTGTAGATTTAACTTATGATGGAACTGGATATTCGCCGCGAATAAAGAAATACATACAGTTGAATCCAAGAAAGCAAGCAAGTCTTGCCTTTTGACCTATTGTCCTAGAAATGAGAACACGTGTAAACGGACCAGCTTAAATAGAAACAGAAAAAAAAACTAGATTACAGCAAAAGAAAACTTGCCTTAAAGAGTATCACCTTCTCTATCTTCGACTTAAACAAACTTTAAAAGATTAAGAAATATGTTTTGCTAGGAACAGTAGTTCAACATGCTGTTCCTAGCAAGTTATACTTTTACCATATCTTATTTTACTCCATAAACATTGCCTGCTGGCTATTTCAAAAGTGTTCGAGTCAAATAGCGTCTTTGCTTTATTCGAGTGAGTTTCAAGTGTTTTATTAGTTATTTTAATAATGTCGCTTCCTTAACAAGCTACGATTAAAAGAGAAACGCAGATACAACGACCATGGTCATGTAAATGAGAACGGTTTTTGAGACCACCACAGTTCGAGTGAAGTGAATTAAAAGCGACGACGTGCACTGAAAGTGAATTCACCAGCGCACCTAATTTGCGTACACTCAAACGAAATTGTGCGAAGAAATGGGACCAAACGAGTAAAAAATTGACGATTTAACCAGTACATTACTGGCCATGCTCTGGTAAATTCCTGCAATTTTAAAAGTACTTCTTTTATTCAATTTCTATAAATTTGCTTGCCCGTCCATATTCGAATGAGATTGGAAAATAGCGTCAATCTCCAAAAATATCTGATGAAATGATTTTTATGGCAATACCTCAACTTTCTAAAGACTTTTCTGCTGCTTTGAACTGCTTTTTCTTAAAATTTGGAATTTAAATTAGCAACTTTTTCGTTACTACGAATAGTAAATGTAGTTGAAGAACTGATCCCCTCCCTTTTTTAAGGTTTTGGGTCCCTGCTTGAAAATGAATCCGATAGATCCAAACAAAATTTAAAATAGATTGCTAAGGACCTACTTACAAGGTTTTGAGAGTAAAACGTCATCTGTTGACTATAGATCATTGAGAATATTATTTAAGATACCTTCTAGAGCACGAATTTGCAAAAGCGAGCTAATCAAAATACATATATTACAAATAATATACAATCCATAGAAAATTTAAAAGGTCTGCGACCTTCCTATATTTCCCTCGGGCACAGGGTTTTCAACTAAAGCATCCATTAACTCAAAATTGCTCTACCAGGAAGCTGATCCTAATGTACCCGGATGGTTTGCTGTATTTTTTTATTCGTTGGAACAAAGAACTCCTAAGGGTCTGAAAGGTAAACAATCACAGGAAATAACGCAAATTACGGGGTAATAGAAAATAATGCAGACTTTTTGTATGTTTGTACAATATTAGCTGCCCATATAATAAATAAATGGACTTTTGAGTCGGAACACAGGAAAGTCCAAGAATAACAAGTGAATAATGAAAATAATAGCAATAATAGTAAACGAAATATTTTTTTTTGTCGAAACCTGAAAACAGAAAAATTCAATAAAATTGAAAAAATAGTTTATCTGATCAAGATAAAAATATAGAACTCAGATTTCTAAAGCAATCGCAAGATTTATTAAGTTTAAAAAATTGCAGTTTGAAAGTTATTTCTTATATATAAACGCTTTGCATAAGAATAGGAAATTAATTAATTTTAACATATGTTAAATTATTGTTCGATTTCTAAGCCTTCTTCTTCTATATCGGCACATCTGCTTACTTTCTTTTAGGTAGCAGAAACAGGAACTGAGACACAAAAGCACATGAAATGAAAGAAATTTAATCTAGACAACTGAAACCTCCTACATTTACTAGAATTTATTATTTTATTAAAACGCAAAAGCGTCATACCCGTTTTCGTTTTACTGCAATATTACAGTTTACAATTTCTTTTGTGAGAATTGGCATCTTTACTGCATTGTATGTGGACAGAATGATTCGAACAATCTAATATATTTTCCAGCTTTTACGTGGGTGGATAGAACGTTTCTATTGGATTTTATGTCGATTGTTTCTAAATGTTCGCAACATGCAGTAAAACTGCAATTACTTGCAGGTTGAAGAAATGCAAAAACTTGCAGCTGCATCGCAAGAAATTTTAAATGTATTTCTATTAATCTACAATAAAATGTGAAGCCCCAAACTTGCGAATAATCAATGAGCAAAACGAAATAAAAAAAATGAGACATGCACTTAAAGCTGCTTCAAAACAAAATTAGTCGTTTTATTTAAAAGCCAATACCAAAAAACCGTCTAGCAAGTTTTAAATAAGAATTTTTTTGWATGTTTCAGAAGCAAGAAAATTATTTGGTGGATATCGGATAACACCGAAATTTTGCAAAGCGACCAAAACGCCTGTAAATCCACCYGGTGGCCCAAATGTTTGCATGTTCAACCATGAATGCGCCCAAAGAAATGGACAGGTAGTTGGAGCCTGCATGGATGGCTTTTTATTTGGTGCTTGYTGTCAGCTCTCAAAGGGTAAGTCGAAAATTGCATTTAAAGGCAATCCGAAGACAATGCCAAAGTTACCGCACCATTATAAAATAAAATATAATTTATTTCAAAACGTTTACAAACATTTTTCAGAAGCTTGAATTGCATWTTGAGCAAAAACCASATTGAAAATTTGTATCGACAACACAGTTTTTTCCCCAGTTTGTATGGTTCTTGCCATACAAACTCATATATTTTCTRAACTTTTCCCTCAACCTCAAAATTTGTTATGATTATGARCAATTTTTGATAAGAAGATAAGATAAAATTTGATAGAGAATCTAAAATAATTGTTGAAAGCTTTACATTSATAGAATAAATATTGTTTGTAAGAACTTAAAAAGTTGCTRAATGCAAGATAAATCTAAGATCTAAAACCGRTCTTAGAAACTCAATGAAAAACCAGTGAAGGAACCTTTGTACTCAATTAACAACTGTAGAATACTAACAACCAACAAATACACGTTCGAGATTGGCAGAAAATGGTCTTGAAAGGACGCAGCAATTAAAATTGCTATGGAAATTTACCTTATAATTAATATTATTATAGGGAGCTTAATGATCATAAAATATTACCTGAATAACTTGAGATAAAATCTGTTAAAAAGGAAATTGAGAACGGAAGTTATTTTGGAATGTTATTTSATGCGTAGCGCTAAAATCAGCTAAATAACGCACAATAAGCWCTGAAATTTTCATTTTTAAAGCAACTGTACTTTGTGTGTTTAAAACACTGAGGTAAAATGAAGAGAACCAAAAATWCTGGCCAAYTAAAAATTAAATATTTTAAAATCTATTTAAGTTTGTTTTACAGCTACATTTGATAAAAAGGTTTTACCATAACATTGCCAAATATAAAACTTAATATAATGTCTAAAATTAATTACCACCAAGTCCACAAATCATGCTAACATGCGCTAAAAACATATGTTGAAAYAGAAAAGTAAKTCGTTTGATATTTTTCAGATGAGATGATAGGAGACTTTTTGRCACAAGATTATCCTGGCATAACGACGTTAGACAATAAATTATACACAATAATGTCAACAACCCACAGAACAACACCCGTATTCGATATTACATCTAATGGCGTTTCCCAGATTGCGGCTTCGTTGTTAGGCGGACACCCACCATTTTCCGGTAAATAGAAAAAGAGAAACACTATTCTATGATTTCTATCATTTTTTTTCTCAAAATTCATTAATCAATTTGAGCAATTTATTTTGTTACAAGTCCGTCAAAAATAAATTTGCTTAAATACATAAATTTCAGGTGACGATGGTCAAGGTGTTTTACCAACTGGAAGTGATAATGGTGCCCACATTGACACACATTTAGATTCAAATTGGGCCACAACACTGAGTGATGAGGATAATGAAATTATATCCAACTCCTTCAGGTAACACATGATCAAATTTTCGAAGACCTATTTTTTATAAGGCGACCTACATATTAAAATACTTTTTCAAATTTTTCAAGATCAGTCTCAAAAATATAAAAAGTCAAAATAACTAAAGTGATATTCTGTTTTGTTGGTTTTGTGCAAACATAAGGTTTTTTTTTCAATGCATTGCATGCACAATAGTGTTCACAGTTCACAATATCAACCATATCCATATCATTATTCAAGCACTCAAAAATATTGCTTAAAATTTATTTTTTTGCTCACTTTACGGTACTATTATATAAATTTAATTTTTGTGTTTTAAAATTAACAACAAATATCATTCAATTATTTTTTGTTTAACTAAATATTTAAGCGAAGCAGAAATTATCTTTAGGTCTAGACAGTGATAGTTCCTACATGAGGAATTACTAAAAAGCATTCATGTCTACATTATTGCGTTCTAAATTAGACAAAAATTGATGCTCACTATATGATCACATCAATGTCTTCAATGGGCACAAGTAAAAGCTTGTTTATTTCACTCGGCGTTAATGCAAGAAAGTGAATCAATCTAATAAAAAAATTAACGAAGAAACGGTGACTCGGCAATAAACGAACGCAATTCATCATCATTGCTTTTTTGTACTCTGCTTCAAAGCATTCGCTTTACTTTCGATCTAAACCTATATAAAATGTTCTCAATTATCATTAATTTCAGTCTAATTTCGAATTATCTTCAACTTGCTTGTAGCAAATGGATTCCAAAGCAGTGCCAATAGAAACTTTGATTCGGGTATAATTACATTTGTATCACATTTACACTCCCAGAAAAACATCTGATGTTAAAAATATTTAAAGACTTAACAATAAAATCAAAGACAAATACATTTTTCATAGTTCGCAAAAATGACTTGCTTAATTTATTATTTTCCTTAGACATTCACTACACAACTAAAGACAGAATCACAAAAAACACCTACAAATAAAATAAGTAGAGAGCTAACAAAAGCTTTAACCTTATCAAACAGGGTTTACAGCAAAGAGGAAAATGTAAAAGAATTTCCTATTAGCTATTAGTAAGTAAAAAAATTATTGGTTAACACTAAAAGGAACAGAAACAGTTGTTTGAAGATAGTAATAACGCTAGTGAAAGTGTGCCGGAACCTAAAGCTTATTAGGTTGAACGCGACCTAGAAACTGTCATACTCAAATATATGATAAACAGAATAATTCATCAATTTTAAAAATGTAAAAAACAAAACATCAAACTAAGAATTATTGCAAAAACATTTCGAATTACTTTCTTAAATTAAATAGTTACTAAAACTGAGATTTTAGATATAATTTGATATCTCAAATATATTTAATTTGATATGATGATATCATATCAAATTTCATGATGCAAAATTTGATTCAACGCATTTTTATTTAGAACCACATTGTTTCGTTTTTTCAACACTACACGACGCAATTTTATGTGATAACAAGCATGTCAGTATTTTTAATTAAAAAAATAATTGTCCTCTTAGTTGTTTCTTGATTTTCAATTGCCCAAAATTTACCGTTCAGCAAGTGAAAACGTAAATTTCAAATGGATTTCTTTATTATGCACCATTATCAGCAAACATATTTTCAACCGTATTCACCACACAACTTTATGAAAATTAAATTAAAACAGAAGAATTTCGAACAATTTTTAATTTAAACAAGCGTGTTAAACGCTCGTTCAGCGTTGTTTTTCTAAATTTTTTACGTTATAAACCGCCTCATATTGGGTTAGCTTTTTGTGCTGTGCATTTTTACTGACGACTCAGTTTTCCCAGTCTTAAATTAAATTAAAAAAAATGCATAGATTTAATACGTTTTAAATGCGTAGAATAAATCTGACACTACCGGCAAAGAATTATGTAAGTAAAATACATCTGCAATTAAAATAACACCCAATTTATTGCAGCTCATCAAACAGACCCACTGACAATAAACTAACCACTCTTTATGGAGACGAGCAAACTACAATGCGATATGCAGAAACATTTGCACCCATCTTGCATTCTTCGGTACCGAATCCAGGGCTAATTTACACTCCAGTGCCCACTTTACAGCAACCGATGTTCCGGTAAGAGCCGGCTT